TTTTAAATATTTTATTAAAAAATATTAATTTTAGAATATAAAAAAGAATAAATTAAAAATAATTAGTGCTATGTATGCGGATACATAATTAATTTTTAACAAAACTAATTTTGTGTGTGTGTGTTTGTTCTATTATTTATTAAAAAACATATTGAAAAATAAAATTATATGAATTTTACACTTCATTTTAGAACAAAAACGTGAATTCTATTATTTATTAAAAAACATATTGAAAATTCATACACAAAGAAAAATAAATCATATTTATTAACAAATAAAATTTCATAAAAAATTTTAATTTAATGAGAATTTTTATAATAAATGAAAATTTAAGAGATTAATTTTAATCAATAAAAAAATATTATCCGATATGTGTGTTTGTTCTAAAATTTTAAAACATAAGAGATGAGAAACATTTAAAAAATATATATTTTTTGAAACAAAAGTGGGGCAAAAATGGACTAAATTAAAAATATGAGATTTCAAATATTTTTAAAAATATGAGGATTTAAAAATAAAATTTGAAAACATAAAGAATCGAAAAGAAATGAAGTGTAAATTTTGAAAATGAATGAAAAAAATATAAAGAAATCATGAAAATGCCATTGTAGAAAATCACAAAAAAGGCTCAATCGTTAGTTTGTGTGAAAAAAAAAAAAAGAATGATTGATTTTTAAAAATTTTAATATCTAATTAAATGAAAAAAGAACATAAATTGATGGAAAAAAGCAAAGGAAAAAAATCAAAAAAAAAAGAAAGACATGTAGTGCATCAATTAGGGATTAAAATTTTAAAGACTAAAACAAAATAATTTTTTTAAAAAAAAACTAAGAATGAATAATATTGTTTAAATGAATAGTACGACAATTGAAAAGTTACTATTCATTCACTGTTCAAATGAATAGTGAACTCTTCGACTGTTTTAATTTTTAGTAGAATAAATTAGTCACTGTAGCTGCAAGAAACAAATTAATTATTCTTCCTTTTTAAAAATAAAATTAATTATTTAACCTTATCTTTTAAAAAATTTCTTATAACTTAATCATTTTAATCATTTTTTATTTTTTTAAATTTTTTCTTGTAAAAAAAAAAGTAAAAATATAAAAGACTTGATGAAAAAAATGATATTTTTTAAAATAAAATAATATTAAATTAAACATATAATACTAATAAAAAAATCAAATAATTAATTTTTAAAGTAAATAAGATTAATTAATTCGTTTCTAAAAAATAGAGGGACTAATTTATAATTTACTCGTTTTTTTTTTCAAGGCAGACGTGGACTAGACATGCAGATCAAATTTTAGTGTGCTGCCACTATAGTCTTCCCTTGGACAGATTTGGCTGCAATGCCAAGATTGTCTTGACTGCAGTACTTATGGACTGTGCGATCTAATCGAACGTCCAGTATTCACTGTAAAGATTAAATCATGGATATTGTATCTGATCCACTAGGAAATTAGGAGCTTTTGCTTTCAATGTCTACGTTCTTGGGAACCTGCACAATTTATCCACAATTTTGAATCTTGGGTTCTGCAGCAACATTGCTTGGCATGTAGGGAATTTCAAATTTTTATAATTCAAACTGGTCAAATTTACACAGTGATCCCCAAGTTTGGGAATGGTTTTACTTCAACTTCAAGCTTCCTTTTGTCCTCATTTAGAAGTTAGCAGTGTTACATAAAATTAAAAATCATAAATTATCCTTGATTTTTATTTGGATTTCAAAAAAAATCAAAATTCTGATGCTATATTAATTTTTTGTTGAATTTAAAAATTTAAAATGTTAAATAATATCTTAAAATATAATTTATATTATTTTCTAATAAATATTTTATATATTATTTATTTATTGAGAAAGAGATGCCTTTATTGCAGCTGAAAAAACAAAATAAAACACTAATACATTGGTTAGCTACGTTAGGGAGCTAGCATGTAATAGGGTATGAATTATACCGAACTAGAAGAATATATAGTGTTTTTATACCAGGACATTTGGAATGCTCTTGGATTAGAAGACTAAAAAAATAATCATACCTGGTTGAAATTGTAATTCAGATTTTGGAATCCTTCACAAATGTTTGGTGGAAAATTATAGCTTTGTATAATACTAGACATAAAATCATACTTCCATTGATATTATAAGAAATTAAGTATCGAAAGAGAAAAATAAAACACACTGCCCTTATTATGCAATCCAACTTGAATTAATTAAAAAGGGCAATATGTTTATATTTACAAAGGAAAATCTCAATATAAAAATGTGTTCAAATGCATGAGAAAAATTTCTTAGTTTCATAGTTTTTTTTTTTTAAGAAAAAGAAAAAAAAAGCGAGTTAAGAAAAAGAATAAACTATAAATTAGTCCCTCTCATTTTGTAAAATAAATTAATTAGTCATTCTGATTTTAAAAACTAATTATTTAGTCTTTTTTGTTATTTTTAATTTATTTTTATTTTTATTTTAAGAAATAGAAAAGGAATAAAAAATAAGTAAAAATATAAAAAGATTGATGAGAAAAAAACATTTTATAAAATAAAAAATATTAAATTAATCATAATCAACATTGATTAAAAATCAAAACTAAATAATTAAATTTTGAAATTAAAGAGATTAATTAATTTATTTGTCAAACAAGAAGAGCTGCTTTATAATTTACTCGTTAAAAACATCAAATGATTAATTTTTAACGCAATCCTAGAATCCTCAAAATAGCGACTTATAATTATTTTTATCACATCGGTGCAAATTTTGGGGTGGAATTGGAATTTTACAAGTAAAGATGCCAACGTGTGAGAATATCTGGATAAGTTTAAGTTTGAATCACGGAGTATAATTGTTTGGGGGCAAACTGTATATTTGCTATGAAGCAAAGCGTTGATTTCAAGGGCAAAATTGCTGATATTCAAAGTCGGGCCCATATTTCTCTCCCCAACTTACAGAGTAATGGAGCCTTTAGTATTTTCAACCTTTAATTTAATATTTTTTTGATAATTTGATTTCTTTTTTTTTTTTTTTTTCAGATTTAGCCACATCTATAATTAGAGATATAAATGGATCAGATCTTGATTTGAATATGATGTAATTAAATGAATCTGATAAATATTTTTTTTAATCAAAGTACTATTATGATTCGAATCCATTAATTCGTTTATTAAATAAATCAAATTCAAATTTATCTTGATCCGATCTAATAATAATTCGCTCTGAAATTAAAAATAATAAATATAATATTTTAAAAAATATTAAAATTTAAATATGAAACTAAATTGAAATATAGAGCTTATTTATTATAAATTTTAAATAACACATATCTTTCCACATTGACGGCTGTAATTTCAAATAATGACATATAATTTTTTTATTATTTTTTTATTCAATTTCATGAAAAAAATTATAAATTAACTTATATATTTTTTTAAAAGTCGACATTATTATATTTGTCGTCACTTTATTTTTTTAACAAGTGGATAAGAAATAAAGATTATTTATTATTTTTTTTAAAATTTTATTATACTTCCTATTTAATTCAAGGCAAACTTTTATTAATATTATTTGATTTCATACTTTTGCATTGTGTGGTATTTTATATTTTTTACAAAATCGATAAATAAAATATTATTTTAATATGTTTTATTATATATACAGTGATTGAAATATATTTTATATTCGAGGAATATATGAATTATAGAAAGCATAAATTTTTTTATAAAAATCAAATGATAAATTCAATAGAGTTATGAATTCGATCCAAATATGTTAGAATTCAAATTCAAATTTATATTTTTAAAATTCAATTTGAATTTATAATATCTGATACATTTTAATAAGTAAACGGTATTCAAATTACATCCGTTGACAGTCTTGGTTTTGATTATAAAATTGTCGACGGCATCTCATGGCTGGAGGATGCACACGTAAACTTGATTACCTCAGCCACAGTAAAAAGAGCAAGTGAAGGAGAAGACGTCGACGAACGAGAACGAGAATGAGGCTGGAACAGCTAAAGTGCTGCATGGTTACCTGAGAGGTCAAAGAAAAACAGTAGAACTTGTTCATTGGTTTCCAAAAAAACCACATAAAACAGCCCGTCACGTTCATCCAAAAATTTCCTTTCCTAGTTTTTTTAACAGTCTTGGTTGGATTATAAGGTCAGGAGATTTCATATCCTCTGGATTTTTTTTACCCATAAGGAGAAAATTTTTTTTCAAAAAAAAAACGACGCAAGTGCTGGCCTTTCTTATCAGGCATTTGTATGGATCCTGTGTGCTTTTTGTACTTTTGGGGGGAAAAAAGAGTTCGACAAAGCACCCTTCGGGTGTGGCTGCCGTGGCGCCACCTCATTTTCACGGTAGCGCCACTCCGCAGTCCTCACACTAATTGCATATTCATAGGTCAAATCCGAAAGACTGAAAGAAGAATCATAGTTTTATAGTTAAAGATACGTTTGTCTACTAATCTGAATTCCTTGATGTGATTAAGCAAAATCAAAGATAAAAAGAACTTAACTAGTTTTGAATTTGATGCCTATTAAAATAATTTACAAACTCTCAATATAGAAAAATTTAATAAGGTTTATTAATATATATCTATTGCAGTAAAAAAACTTACGAGGCAAAATGTAAGAAAAATAAGATAAAACTACATAAATCAAGGTGGGCCAATTGTGCATCTGCACGAATGAATTTTGACAACATGTATTCAAGAAGTAACTAATGGTATACATAGCGATTACTTCGTAGATTCATTTTTTTTTTTAAAAGAAAAAGATAGATAGAAAAAAAAGAAAAAAAGAATTATTATTATTATTATTTTTTTTGGATGGAGTAAATATATAGAATAACTACTGTAAATATCATTAATTATTTTTTGAGTATTATAAATTTTTTTGAGAAGAAGGAGTGTATTTATGGGATCAATTATGGATATGTTAGCTTAGTGTTGTGTAGTCACTTTCAATTCAAAATAGTTGCCTCATGTCCACGGTTCAAATTCCCTAACATGGCTTCCGAAAATCGAGTTAGCAATGCGAATTTAAATGAGTTGATTGTTGGTAAGGTTTTTAAGACATGCATCCCATTTATAGCTGAGATTCCTTATGAGTCCCACCAACTCATATTTTTCGAACCAACATCGTTAGTTGTGTATTGATAATCATATATCAAAGTTGAATTCCAATGGTTGGTGAACTAAGTTAAAGGCGTTAAAAAAAACCATTGAGATTCCGGTCTTGCACATAAAGTTTTCTGTCCCAGTAGTCAAGTTGGCCATGCATATTTAAACACCTTACCCAATGCAGTTATGAGAAATGACCTAATGGATGCAACTTTCAATTTTGACGACAAATTTTTGATAGATGAATTTATTAGAGAATATGAATAAATTAAAAGCTACGATTAATTTTTTTTTCCTTTCAAATTTTTAAATGACATTTGAAAACTCTAGTTTGCATGAGGTATATCTTTTTAGTTCAATTATTAATTTTCAGTCGAAAGATCTAAATTTGAATAAATAATAAAGATTCTGTTAAAAAAAGAAGCTTGTCGGAAAATTTACTCTCAGATTATGGAATTAATTTGTGTTAAATCCAATAAATTAATTAATTCCACTATTTTGATTTGATTGATCAAATTCTCTCTTGTTTATAAACAAAAATGAGCGGTAATACAAATTAAATGAGAGACAATTCATTATCAACATGTATTAAAATGATACCATTTCAATTTGAATGACCAAATACGAGTGAAAAAAAATGAAAATATTCGAATTGATTTTTTGTCTTATGGCTATGCTGTCGTTGTTGTGTGCTTGTTTAGAATGGGATTTTAAGTGGGATAAAAGGAGTTATTCTTATTGTTAAAGACAGCATTTGAAGCTTCCACAACCAAACATCAACATCTAAGGAAGCGAGAACGCAAAGCTAAGTGGAAAAGGGGCAGGCCAGAAGATCCAAACTAGGAGTCAGCAGAATCGCAACTCAGCTTCCACGGCCACTACACAAGTCTAACAACTGAGATTAGAAGATTCTCTGTCTCACTCCTTTGCTCATTACTCATTGCAAGGGTGAAATTCCTTCCTATGAAGATAAGTGGAACCCCACCAAAGTTTAACTTTAAGCTTAATTTGGGACTTTTAGAAGACTAGGCCAAGAAATTGATTGAACCAAATACTGACTAGTGCTCCTCGTATTCCTACTTTGCGGCCCTCGTCTTGACCATATGGCATATAGGTGAATTCGCTTAAGTAGCCTTATATTGCCTATTGTAATCAGAATTTGGGACTTTTTTCGGCTGAGCTTTACAATAATATACTTTATTTAAATAGTTAATATGTTTCGTTTTTCTTACTAGTCAGAAAACTATTCTCCTCTTTACTTTGAGAGATCTCTAATTCAAAAATCTAATTTTCTCGATTTTATAATTTTTATTCGACTTTAGGGTTGTTTCTTAAATCCAAATCTAATATTATTAAAAGATAGTTGTGACAAATTTTATATGAATAGTAAAAATTGAACCATAATTTTAAGTAAATTAAAACAATATTATTATTATTAAATTAAATCCACTGATGATATATCCAATGGTATTGATATGTTATCCTCAATATCAAATGAAACGAAGGAAAACACATTTAGACTTTGAGTATGTAGTCTTAAAATTGAATTTCTTTAACCACTTTTCAAAAAAATTCATTAATCAAATGGGCGGAAAACGGGGATTTTACAAAGCTAATGGTTGTGATTATTGGTAAAAAGAAATTCATTAAAATCTTTTGGTTTTTCATGTATTTTAACATAATATATTTTCAGTTGTCTGGATATTCACAACGTGAGTGCGAGGGAGCCGTTTTAGCCGAAGAGTAGTGCTACATGATATTAGTGATGTAAAAAAAAAAGTCATCATAATTTTATAAGGATAGTGTTTTTTCTTGAAAGGATATAAGGAAGAAAAAAAATTGAGTATTTTAATTCAAGAGGTATTATGTCATTTAATTTTTTCACTTTTCAAATTTATTCTTAAAAACTTTCTATTTTTGAAAAGATGTCTATAAGAGATGTGTTGTCAAGCAGTGGAATTTGTGATTCATTAATATACAAACACGTGGATGGTAGAGGACAGCATTCAATATCTGGAATTACAGCTCTTAAATCATGTTGGTGGTCTTGCATGAGTTAACACATAAACATTATCTCTACAATCAATAAATTCATTCCTCCATGCATATGGCTGCTAATAAATCACTTTGGGGGCCTTTCATTTATTAAAGATTCCAAAAAAAAAAAAAAACATCTACTAATCAGCTACTTTCATACGGACCGTCGTTCCATAATTAAGATGAGCAGTCGTATTTATTCGTTAATAATTAACACTCCCACCCAATATTTCTAAGTAGTAATAAACTCCTCAACTATCCACAGATATTAGGTCAACACGTCAAACAAAATTAATTACTTAAACCAACGGCCAAGAATTCATCCTCATAAATAAATTAAATCCAACACAAGTGCTCTCTCCCTCCAAAACAAACTCTTCTTTGACTTTTCAAACAATTAGAAAAATTATTAATTACTGTATCATATCAATATTTTTTTCTGGATTTTTTAAACATATTTTGTTTTAGAATTGTTTTTTGAGCAATTATTTTGTAAAAAAAAAAAAAAAGTGCACAAGCTATTAGAGTAAATTACAAATTAGTTTTTTGTTTTAGTTTTGCCAAATGAATTAGATAATCCATCTTAATTAATTAGTGTTTTGACCATTGGTGAATATATCTAATTTAAATATTACTTCTATTACGTTTCAAAAAAATATTTTCTTTTATTATCAATCTTTCTATATTTTTAACTTATTCTTTCTTTTTTTCTATTTATAAAAAAAAATTAAAAATTAAGTTACAAATATATTTAAAAATTTAGGGACTGATTAATTAGTTATTGCAACTAGAGGAACTATTTAAATTCCTTTTAAAGACTAAAGTAACTAATTTATAATTTACTCAGCCATTTCATGTTAAGCTTAGCTTGGAGATGTAGTTATGTAGCTGTAACACACAACAGAAGCACTGAAATAATGTAGCTGAAATTTTGCCATGGCAAAGTAAGGGATTAGGCCTTTAACACAGGCAAGTGGTGAACAGCATAAGTTAGGTAGCGAGAGCTATAATAACTCCAGGATCATGGGCATGTCACCCGCGTGAAAACTGTACTCTCTATCAAAAGTGCACGTTAGGTTAGCATATAGAAAGGCCATAGAGCAAAGCAAGACAGAAGAATGGGCTTGAAGGAAAAAAGTTAACCTTTGACTATTTCCCACAATGTGATGATAATGTCTTGCATGATTTTTCTTACTTTACCTCATTAACATGATCAACCAAATGTGTCTCCCATACAAAAGTGAGTGTGGATCAGGATGTCACACTCATGTTTGGAGGATAACTGCAGGCCTCTCGAAAAGGGGAATGGAGGCTAGCTAACTATGATTTTTACCAAGAAGAGAAGAGAAATACTTATTGCGTATACGTTATGATTGGTTAAAATTTTAGCATCAAATTCTTGGAAGCTTTAACCAAGTGTCTGTAAAATAAAAGAAGGCTTGGAGTCCAAACTAATACTCGTAATGCCCATGGGAAGCATTTGACCTTATTAATTAAGCTAGAGGTAAAAGAGAAAGGAAATGATATCTTAGTGCTATATGTCAACTTTGTTACGCCATTACTTTTCTATCATTACACATAATGATTTGTTTCATTTCTCTTTTTCTAATTGCCTTCTAAAAGGTCAATTACTTTGTTTTTGGAAATTAAATCCAAACCCTCACAATTGGGAAACATGTTTCCCAATTTTATATGGTCTGAGGCCTAAAAATTAATATTGAAATCACAATTAGAAAATAGTTAGTGATATGCCATGAAATAATAGACCACTCAAGCACTAGTCCAAAATAAATTTCAAATTTTTTTTTTGGGAAACCGACCTAAAAAGAGTCCGACATCAAATTTTCTTATATCCGATCAATTATGATTGAGGTAATTCCATCTCACTATAGACGTCATATTCTATGAGATATGAGATAAGAAACACAATACACTTCCTCACACATTATTAAACTTTCGTTACAATATGACTACCGAGTAGTCTTATTAATAGAATAAGTCTACATCAAAAACAAACTTTTTTATATAAAGATTAATATGACAACTATAACAAATTATATCTTTTATTCTCTACACATATATAAAAATAATATTGTATATTCTTTTAAAATATAGTAAAACATACCGTTAAATCTATTCATATCAAACTTGCTAAAAAAATACTATCAAGTCTCATAAGGATAAAGACTTCTCTTCGTATATTTATTTAGCTATTGAAAAATCCTTCAAACATCAAAAGGAAACTTGTTTTGTAGATACTCGTTATAGGCCAACAAGACTATTAGATTATAAATATATTAATGATTTTAATGACATGTACTTTAATTTGTTAGTTTGTTAATCTATTATTTTGTTATTAGTCAATTAGTTAGTTATAGGTTATTACTTAGTATAAATATAACTCGTATACTTACGAGTCTTAATCAAGCTAATAACAAAGTAAGTTTACCAATTTCTCTCTCTCTCTCACTTCACCAAACTTTACCTTTCTCTCGTCAATTTTTCCTTTCTTCAATTCAGTCAAGAAAATCAACATGGTATCAAAGCTTAAATCACTCTAGGGTTTTTAGCTCGATCAATTTCGATTACCTTCTCTCAAGCTTAATCATTTTCAATTACCTTACCTTCTTTTTGTTTCATGAGAAACTTTCATTACAATATGACTATTAATAGTCTTGTCAAGAGAATAATTTTACATCAAAAACAAACTTTCATATATAAAGATTAATATGATAACTATAACAAATTATATCTTTTATTCTTCACACATATACAAAATAATATTGTATATGCTTTTAAAATATAGTAAAACATATTATTAAGCCTATTCATATCAAACTTGTCAAAAAAAAAAAAAAAAATACTATCAAGTCTAATTAAGATAAACACTTCTCTTCGTATATTTATTTAACTGTTGAAAAATCGTTTAAACACCAAAAGAAAACTTATTTCGTATATACACGTCATAGACCAACAAAATCAAGACGAATCTTTATCTTAGGATCAACTAAGGAAAAACAATATCTATCAGATATTGTTCATATAATTAAAAAAATCTACGTCCTCGTCAGCTAGGTGCTCTAAATTTTATCCTTTCATCCAGAAAATTACAATAATTCTTTAATTGATTTGACCATTCCTGCTAACAAATGCCGCAAGGTTGGTGTGTCAAGGAAATCAAAGTGAAAATTTCAGCAATAGATAAATCTTGCACGATGCATGCTGGAAGACGGACCTTTACCATGGCTAGATATCAAAATAGGTTATAGGTGTCATTAAATATGAGTTACTATATATATATATATATATATATATATATATATATATATATATATATATTAAAGCAAGGTGACAAAAATCTCAAATAATTCCTATTTTGTAATTATTTCTTTTATATTCCTTTAAAGCAACAAAGTCAAATTTGTACATGATATATCATTCAATGGTTAAATACTAATTAATTTATTGAGGGAGAACGCAACTAATTGATGTTGACCAGGGATGCAAGGAATACACGACTTGAGGTGATATGATCATTCACCCTGAGAACAATCCACATGGAGCCCGTGAACAGAGTTTCAATGAAGAATTTTTTTAAATTAAATGCCACAAAACTATCCTCTTTATGGATTAATGTTAGCAAAGAATCATACCTACAAATTATTGATATAATGATAAACGAATTGATCTCTAAAATTTTTTTTATCAATATGTAAAATTCAAATTCTGAAATTATATTTATTGAGAAGGGTTAAATATGTCAAACATGATTAATCCTATCTCTAAGATTAGTTTTATAATAAATGTAGCATCTTATAAAATAACTATTGTAAAATATTAGTCTCTCATGTCGAACATGATAAATCTTCCGTTAGACAAATAACAAAAAAAAAAAAAACTAACTAAAGTCATTTATTTATAACAGAATCCACCCATTAGAACCCTACCAATACAATCTAGAGAAAAATTCCCAATTTTATGAAACCCTAATTAAATCTAGAGAGTTCACTCAACATAAGGTCAAGCATCTATTATCCTATCCCTTAAAGCAAATTCATCAATAAATTGTAACTCGTTTATTGCTTGCTACAATTGATCAATAATATCTCGTTCTTCTGCATTTAGTAGTTCAACAACAATTGTTCAGTTATGATTCATGTTTACAAAGTTAGGAAAGTTGGTGGTTTTTTGGCATAACTTATAAATATTAAAAAAATTTCTATGTTTAGAAACTTAGGAAGAAGAAAAAAAAATTGGCTAAAATTATATGAGATAAAAAAAATTTTTCATTTAGAGGAAAATAATTAGAAAGACTAAGCGACGAAAGTGTTAAAAAATAATATAAATCATATCATGTTCAGCTCTTTCGAGTCGTAGTTGTTAAAGAATAATCTCACCTAAAAGTTTAAGCTTTTAAGTGATATAGTCTTTTAATATGGTATCGAGCCTTGATAACTAAACGGTTACTAGTTCGAATCCTATCACCCCCACTTTCTCTTCTAATTAATTAAGCACAAGATAGTGTGAGTACGTGCAAGTTTCAAGCCTAAAGGCCTTTCACTTGAGGGGGTCTCGTTTGAGAATAATATAAATCTTATTTTAGAGCATCCCCTAACAATTTAAGCTTTTGGATGAGATAGTACCTTGACAAGCAATCACGTTCACTAGCAAGTTAACCGAAAAAATGATGCCTAAGTATTTGCATTTGCATATTTTTTATTAACCAATAGGGAGTTTCCTCTCATACAATGAAAGGCATTACTACTTAATTAGAAGCGATACCTATTTGCTTTCTTGTAAAGAGACTTAGAATCTTACCTAATAGTTTAAACTTTTGAGTTGATATGCTTCTTTAATATGGTATAAAACCTTGTTAACCAAGTGGTCATGAGTTCAAATCTTAAAACTTCTATTTTTTTTTCTAATTAATTATGTACAAAATAATGTGGGTCCGTGTGAGCTTGACTTGAAGAAGTGTGTTAGAAAATAATATAAATCATATCATGAGACCGCACTTAACGACTTAAGTTTTTGTACCGATATGGTTTTTTGCCAGAGAGAGACTAAAAAAAAACGATGAAAAGTTTAGCTTTATTTCAATCAATTACCGAATTTCTTAATATGCAAGTTTTGTTAGTTTTTATTTTATTTATTATTTTTAAGTATCAATTAATTATTTCTAATTTTAAGAAAATAATTATCAATTAGAAATTATATCTTCAAGCATGGATCGACACATTTCATCATATTTAGAAAGACATTAGTCAACATATAAAGTTGGTAATCTAATTGAAGTGGTAAGGGAAAATTTGACTTATTTTAACCTTTTTATCCTATGGAGAGACAAAGCTCTAGGAATACTACTTAAGTTTACAAAATTAACGTAGGAGTTATAATTTCACAAATATTTTTTAATAAGAGGTTAATACAATCAATTAAAGCATTTAAAGAAGGAGAAAATCCTAATATATTAATTGCATGAAAAGAAACAGAAAACTCCTTTACATTTCAATTTCCCCTACTCTATTTATAATTTGTCAAGCAAATTATTCTAGACTCAATAGGGAAGTGGGCATCAATACTTAATTTTATTATCTAAGTAATGTAGGTGGTCCATAAAAAATAAAAAAGAGAGAGACCAAACTCAGCTACTTCTCAAGTCAATAATGATATAAGCTTCACACCTCGATGGTCCAAAAGATGGAGAGCTAGTGGTCCAACCTACGAAGACCTCACATAGCACCTTCCTAATACAATGATGATCAAGTTCTATTTACACAATTAAAAAACAAAAAGAAAAGAAGAATAAACTTTTGTGCATGAATTTTCTTAACTCCATGGCAGCACACCGCGGTCCATCCTTGAAGGATAGTAGTAGCAAATTTTGTGGAACCCAATCCAAGATCTGTGGGACCAAAATCAAACCCTATATTACAAACTTTGAGGCAAAGTATATGCTTTCATTCACTATCATAAGGTTATTAAAAAATTCAAAAGAACAGGAAAAAGGCGATGGAGGCTCCAACCCATTTGAGTCTGTTCCATACCACAATCATAATTGTCCTCTTATGCTTCAAACCCATGCCACCATCTCCCACTTTTCACACTACTTTTTTTGAGTGAAAAAGGATGGGCTTTGCAACTGTTATGGAAAATTTTTCTCCATCCTCATTGTAGCTTTCTCGTCTTTTGTTACACACACTTTCCTTTTCCTAATGACTGATTTGTTGTGGTAGCTAGCTAGACTTGGGAAAGACCTTTGCTCTTTTGGTTCATTTTTTCAGAATAAGGCTGTGTTTTTTATGCTGGTGCACATTGCTTTTCAGTTTTAACTACTCTAATTTAGAAAAAAAGTAACATGTTCATCTTGCATATGCTAAAAGTATAATCTATTGTCGTGTATAAAGAAAGCATGGAGTATGCTTTAACGTGGATCTCTAAATATAAAATTCAGCAACTAGTTGATTCCATAGAATACGTATAGCACCTCTTGAAAGCCTAATTAATGAGAAAGGTCACCACTTTTAACTAACCAAAACACAATTTTTTTTTTGTTTTTTGGCTAAAGAAAAAAAAGGTTTTAAAAAGAAAACGTTCTCTAATTCTCAACGGGATTAAACTAGTTAAAAATTGCACCATTAATCGAATATAATTAATACTAATTAAGTTGACTTATTGCCATGTATTTTAATTATACTTTGACCTAGACAAATATTGGCAAATGACAAAAAAAAAAAAAAGAAGAGGAAAAAAAGTCATTAAGAAAATACTTACACCTCACCAAGGGATAATTGAGAAGAGAAAAACATATTATTGTCATTTTCAGCAATCATCAAGAGATCAAGATTAGATGAGTTGATCATGAAATCAACTGCCTTGAACAATGCTGCAATCATAAAAACAGGAGGGTCATCACCTTTTCGATGGTGGATCAAATTACTTAAAAAAAAAAAAATCATAAGCGATTATCATGACTTGTTAATTGGATTAGAGATTTAAAAGTTTAAAAATAAGATTTTTATTTTTATTTTTTTAGAGATTTCACCTGTACATGTGTATCACGTGAGTCGAGTTAGAGGGAGAGGTCAAAAGTATTTCTCTCTGTCTATCTCTCTCTCTCTCTAAAAAAATAAAATAAAAGTAAAGTAAATCCCAAAATAGATTGGAGAGGAAACTGTGAGTTGTTAAGTTGATGGTCATGGACTCCACATAATGGCTAAGAAGTTTTTCAATAAGGATATCCTATCGTTTAAAAAAAAGAAAAAAAGATAGAAAGATAGAGAGGGGGAGAAAGAGACAAGTCTAGTGCACGTAATATTGTTCTAAGTTATTTTGTTATTATTATGTTTCTTGCCTTGTTCATCTTCTCTATTTGAAAGGAGAAGAAAATTAAAGGCCTCTACCTACCAATGTAAAAGGCCGAAAATGCAAGTTTCCCACAAAGACGATGATTAAAAAAAAAAGAAAAAAGAAAAGTTAAGATCTTTTCTAGTTTTTGTATCTAAGATCAAACCAACTCTTAAAATCCAAAATATTTCAGTTAAGTCTTCAAACACTGACATTTCAAAAGTTAATCTTGAAGTGCTTTCAACTTTTAAATCATGCCCATTTTTCTCTTCTTGAAATTTAATATCTTTCTTTTTTATATCCAAATTATCAAATTTATATTCATATTAAATCAATAAATATGTATCCAAAAATTCCCAAAAATTAAAATTAACATGAGTGATGTATTGAGAAAGAAGATGATAAATAAGACAGGAGGAAGATGAAGTACTGATGATTGGGGAAATGACAAAAAAAATTATCGATAGTAAAAGATGGTAACAAGAGATCAAATTGAGACTACAATGCAAGTTAGTGGAGTGGATTGCACTTGTTCGAAGCGAAAAGGCTGGTTTGCAGTTGGGAAAATTGCTCATACAATTATTCATGAATAATTGTTCATGTAAATTCAACCAACATAAAATAAAATAAAATAAAGGGATGAAAAAGCCAAAACCCTAGATGTGGATAAGTGATTCGTGGATGGCTACCCTTGGAAATAGATCTTGTTGCTTGCTGCTGTTGCATTTCTTATCCCTCTCTGACTCATGTTCTTGATAGAACTATTCGGGTGAGAAACATCCCACATTCTAGAGTCGGGTCATGCATCCAACGGTAGGCCATTTATCATTTAAATTAATAGCTAAAATTGATACTCCTATGATATTATACATATATATATATATATGTTTGTCCTTATATTGCGTGTATATTATTTTGTATTTTCTCTCTTCCAGGGAAGCCTTAGATATCCAATAGAAAAAAGGTTCGGTTCTGCAACAGAACAGAGTTGTTAGTACAAAACAGATTAGGCCTAGACCCTCATCTAGCTAGTGACAGCTATGAGCTAGCTAGATACACCTTCTTGTCTTTGATTGACTGAACTAGTAGAACTAGGGAATTTGGAACCCAGAGGGCAGAACCCGTGACTCATTTTCTTATCCACAAATAGAACTGCAAACTGTTTTTACTCTCTTTCCAAAAAACAAAAAAAAAAAAAAAAAAAAAAAAAAAAGAGAAAACTTTAAAAGTTAATCCCTTATGTATTAGTACATTATTAATTGACTCTCAAACTTTTTTGATTTTATCGATTGTCCCTAATGTAATCAACATTAGATAATGTTATTCCTCCATTCATCCACTTTTAATGGAAATTTAAAAGATTTTCATCTAATTTACATGTCTTCATTAAGTGCTTGCTTCCTTCGCACCAAAATAAACTCTAATTTGTCCTAAAAGACATTTTTAGCATCAAATCATAATAAATTTTCCTTCGTTTTTTTTTTAAATTCACTAGCTTGTATAAAAATAAAGTTATTGTGTTTAGGCACTAAAATTATCTTTTATGACATATTGTTATTTTTTAGATGGGAATATTTAACAAACGTGTGTAGATTGAACGTAATCTTTTAATTATCACTACCGACTATGTATAAAAAGAGAAGTGATATTATTTAATGTTGATTACATTTAGAGTAAAATTGATGAAAATCACAAGATTTAAGACTCAATTGATTATGGGATGATATGTGAAGTACTAAATTGAGGTTTCCTCAAAAACTAAATAAGTGCAAATCAAACGATTGCAAGTGCTGAACTCTCTAAATAAGAAATAAAATATTCGTCACTGGCTTTTGTCGAAAAAGAATTCAATCTATAAACTTTAGCTGGTATCTGGATAAAATCTAACAATAATTTTGTATGAAATTTCTGATATATAATCTTAAGTGTAAGTCATTTATACAGATTCATTCAATTTTAACTGTTGAATAATTACTTTCTTTCCTTTTATCATACACAAGGCATTGTATTTTTTCTGATAAAGCTGTATAGTGGCCGGTTAGTGGCCTTTGTAAGGGAGAGGTCATGCCCAGGTCATCACTCATATACAATCAATTGCTAGGAGAAATGAAAGGGAACCAACCGAATACAAGGTTCAGGCAATCAATAATTAGGAGGGTGAAAAGTAAGTTCTTGCGCATAATTTTGAGGAGACACCATATCAGCATACTTGTTTGTGCTGAAGAAACTAATCAAACTATGCATGAGTTGTATGCCAAATGCAAATTCATGAAAGACTGCCCTTTTCTCTTTGCAATAGCGACACTTCATCATCACAACACCCACAACCCAAAATCTCCCTCTCTTTATCTCATTATTGGATCAATTGAAAAGGAACATCTTTCATACTTTTTGTAGGGAATACGTATAATAGGTGTTGTCTAGAAATTTTTTGGTGATTTTTTTTCTGTTTCTTGCCCTTGTATCTGCGATTGTGATCAACAGACAGAATCAATTGATTGCACTTTTGTGTTCTATAGAAACTAGCATTTTTTTTCTCTAGCGATCTCCCTGGTTCGAAGGAGACAAATTTATATTAGAAGGGGGTCCATTTTGATGGGTGTAATCTTGAAAACATCAGTAAGAGTGGTAACTAAGTTTCTTAGCCATTATGATCTCTTTCTCACGAAGACAAAAAAGAAAAGAAAAGAAAAAAGAGAGAGAAGGAAATATCAAATTTGAACTTTGATATTTTTACTTTTATTTTCAGGATGTCTCATATCCAAAATTTTAAATTAATTTATCGTTGTTCAGTCTAGCATAAAAACAAATATAGTTATTTAAAGATTTTTTTACATATATAATGACTTAAATCCAACATTATTTATTTAAATAACTAAAAAAAATTTCGTTCGAACTAATGGTTTTGAGTGAACTTTGATATTTTCATTTTAAAAGCACATGACTTAAAATCTTTTAAAACTTAATTGTTCATGCGCATCGAGTATGTTTTCTTATATACTCATTAGAGCATTTTCAATGCTCTCTTTATATTAAGATTTTTTTTCTAATAAAGAGGTTTGGCCTAAATTTCATTTTCAATGCTCTCCAATACTAGAGAGTCCAAATGACTCTTTATTTTATATTTCATTAATAAAAATTACTATTTCCTATATTATTCAGACCTCTTCACCAATAGCTTTCCCGAGCTTTATGAATTTTGTCAAAATAAAGAGTTGAAGTAGAGAGTAATATTGGAGAGAACATTGATCTTCACTCTATATAATTAACGATGCTATCTATTTACATTAAAAATGCTAGCTAAAAGTAGAGAGCACTATTGAAAATACTCTTAATTCAAGATAAAAAGAAAATAAAATATTTAAGGATGTAATGTACATTTTAGCCACATCAAATTAATTTTGAAAAGTTTTTCTTTCGAAGCAATTTTGAAACTAATTATGTCGTGGCAAATGGACAAACCGAGGATGAAAGAACAAATTGACTTAGAAATGTATGGAATATTCACTTTCCAAGAAATATTATATTTAAATACTTGAGGAGCCCAGGACAAAATGTATGAATTTGTGAACTCACATAGCAACTTCTACTCACCATTCGAATCCATTTGTCACATGAACATGATATGTTTGGTGTAGGAAAGTATCAAATTTAAATTGAACGCAATTAACTTAATAATGATTGCATAATGGTCCGGTTAAAAAGGTCCTGTTTTTATAATTAATCCTGTTTTAATTAAGTAAAATAAATTCAATAAATAAATTTATATCCATAATTGAAGACAGATACCTAACCATTTGGACCAGATTCTACAATATTATAAGACCTTCCAAAATTATTTCTACGAAATGAATAAAAATTAGAAGGGAAGGAATCTTGGGAAGCTGGATAAGTAGACAAATGTTGGTGTGTGACAATCTCTTTATTATGTAATCATGTTAGAAAGATAAGAGTTGGATCTAACCTATATCTAATTTTCTAGTTCAAGAATTAGCTATATACATATTCATGTCTTGGACTAGTCTTCTTTATGCTCTGATAAGGAAATAATTTCAGTGGTGGAGGCTGATGATACGAGGGATGTTTCCATGCTCAATCAAAGTGAGTTTGGCTCGTGACAATGAATATATATATATATATATAGTCAATAGAAATTAAAATGCCGTCGAAACAGACACTAATGAATTTGACTAATTAGTGTCAATTGTCACAGGACATGCATGGACTCCTTTCTCAAAATGACGTGCCTTGGTTAAATTCTTTGCCTAGTCTGCTAGGTCTAATGGCTTCCTTCGTCCACGTTTTTTGAACTTCAGTCCCCCACGTAGACCTTAGAAAGAAGAAGCACTTGGAACTGTCAAAGTGTTAAACTGCCGAGATTCGCATGGATAGGGATTCATAGTATAAGATGGTATATAGATTTAGTACGATGATTTTGCTAATTGGTTAGTTACTAAGGATCAATGGGCAGCATTTTTTGTGAAGGTTAGGAAGCAAAATTTCTAAAAAGTTTACAGAATATTAGACTAAATGCATAGATTTTTTAAATCTTTTTTTTTCTTATAATACTAGTTGTCCACATTATAATTAAATAGAGACAATATCATTTGTATTTATAGCAATCACTTGATAAAACTAAATAAAAAATCCTAATGCAGTCATAAAGTAGCCATCATTATCGAATCACATAAAATTTTTATTTTGTGTGACTCGTTTTTGTCTTTTTACTTCATTTTTTAATCTTTTTATTTTATTTTTTTTACTTTATTCATTTTTTAACATCAAGTTTTCATAGTTATCGAAAAGTAGACTAAACTACCGTAAGCTTTAAAGTTACACCCTAGTGATTTTTTTTTCATTTTTTTTTAGCTTTTGCATGCTCAATAATAACTGCTTCAAACGCTTTCGAATAGGTTACATTTAGGTAATGTTTGATAAAACTAAAAATTAAATGTTGAATCCGTTAAACACTAAATTTTAAGTGTTGATTAATTAAATACTAAACTACCTTAAGCTTTAAAGTTACACCTTAGTAATATTAGACTAAGCTGTTTCAAGTACTTGTTTGATATTTATTGAACATTAAGTGTTAAATATAATAAGGTCGTTTAATAAGTATTGTTATTGAGCATATTAAGACTATATATATAACAATTTTAACCTTGCAATTATAACATGATATTTTTTTTAACATAAATAAAAATATATACATAGATGTGTTTGTGTGTATAAATAAATAAATAAAAATTTCATAAAAATAATTATTAATAAAAAAATTAAACACGATCTAAGATAACATTAATTGTCATATCATGTACAACATAAATGAAATCTCAAGTACTAATCAATTCATTTGTAATTTGGTCTTACAAAATGATCATAAATATTTGATCGGCTCGTGTTTATGTCTCTCTTTCAATGAATGGTCAAATTTACACAAGAGATGTTCAAAATCATTACTATAATTATGGTCAAATTTACACAAGAGACATTCAAAATCATGTTTGCAACTTCTTATTTCATCAAAAATTTGAGTAAAAGGGAACAATTTAATGTTAAAAATATAGGCTTAACGTGCAAAAGTTCTACTTTTTTTTTAAAAAAATATTTATTTATTGAATTTGTATCTTTTTGGTAATGTTTTAGCAAGAATCTAAGTTGACCAATGCTAGCATGTTATGCATTTGATGAATTTCCCAACCAAGAAAATGAAGAGAATTTGAGAGGGATTGAGTTTTTGCGATTGATGGAACATCATGGGATTCACGTGAATTGTCAAACATATCTTTGGCTTTTGGACTTTTTTTGAATTTTGGTTCTTTGGTATACTATAAGAAGCTTCATGCAAGATTTTGAAAGTTGGTTTTCATAAAGAAAGTGTTTTGTGTAATAAGTTTGTTGATGTTTATTTTGCATTAGGTGATTCGGATAATGCGGTTAAGGTTTTTGATGATGGGATAAAAACACCAATGATGATGAAGGTTTCCTCTGTGTTTGGCAATATGGATAGTAGATATTGTTTTTCAATTGGTTTGATAACTAAAGTTATAAGAATATATAAGGATTATTTAGTCATATTTAAAAAAATTTTAAAAATCTTTCAACCGAGTGTGTTAATAAAAAAGTAATAAATTAAAAACTTTAACTTACCCAATTAAGTAGATTTTGACTGAATTTAAATTTTAAATATGAGATTATTTAGATTATCAAACAAACTTTCTATATTAAGTACTACAACTTAATTTTTAAAGCTACTTAAATAAGTTATCAAATACATCATTGGGCTTTCGCTTAAAACCCATGACCTTCAACGAGTCCATGAAATTTGCTTTGGTATTGTTGCATGCATGAATATGCTTCCTTATCCTTTAATTGTTAATAAAACACACACACACACACACACACACACATATATATGGTAAAAACACTTTTAGATGCTAAGTGGGTTTATTTTCATGTTGTTAAAAAAGATTAGGATTCCTAATTAATAAGCGAGTGAGGGAAAAAAATTTTATGATTGTATATTAGTTCGGATACACACACACACACACACACACACACACACACACATATACTTGCGTAACAAAATTAAGACATGTTGAGTATAAAACTTGTTTTTTGTTCTTGAACATACATATCAATATTAAGACAATTAAAAAAGTAACCAAATCCTAATGCATGACATGAATCATGGGTTATGCATTCCTAATCTCAATTTTGAGATGTGGAAAGCTCTCCATATTATGGCCCATAATGACGCAAAGTTTGAACATAGTACTATTAAAAAAAAAAACCAAACTCATTGTTTGCTAATAATTTATTGCAAAGACACACACACACACACACACACAAAATGATCACCATCTAAAAGGACAAGCTAGATGAAAATCAAACAATTAGCAAGGGGACGATAATCTACCTAGCCTAGGTGTCATATTCAATGTAAATTCAACTTGATTTTTAAATATGAGATTATTTAGATTATCAAACAAACTTTTTATATTAAGTACTATAACTTAATTTTTCAAACTACTTAAATAAGTTATCAAATACATCCTTAAACTTTCGCTTAAAGCCCATGAACTATACCAGTCCATAAAATCTGCTATGGTATTGCTACATGCATGAATATGCTTCCCTATCCTTTAATTGTTAATAAAAAACACATATAGTATATATATGGTTAAAACACTTTTAGATGCTAAGTGGATTTATTTTCATTTTGTTAGCAAAGATTTGGATTCTTAATTAATAAACAACGAGGAAGAAATTTTTTGTGATTGTGTATTATTCCACATATATATATATACACTTGCGTAATAAAATTATAACATATTGAGTATAAAACTTGTTTTTTGTTCTTGAACATATATATCAATATCACGACAATTAAAAAAGCAACCAAGTCCTAATGCACAACATGAATCACGGGGTTATGCATTCCTAATCTCAATTTTGAGACGTCGGAAGCTCTCCATATTATGGCCCATAATGACGCAAAGTTTGACCATAGTACTATTAAAAAAAAACCAAACTCTTTGTTTGCTAATAATGCATTGCGAAAAAACACACACACAAAACGATCACCATCTAAAAGGACAAGCTAGATCAAAATCAAACAATTAGCAAGGGGCCGATAATCTACTTAGCCTAGGTGTCATATTCAATGTAGATTCAACTTTTTGTCTACCTGATATAATGCACATCTCACTTTCATGGTTCTTGTTTTTAGTAAAACTGTCTATTTGCTACTTTTTGACTGTTAATTGATCAGATTCAAAAGCATCCCTGATGAACAAGTGATTCGATAAGGCATCTGGTAATATGTCGTCCAAACTCTTCTGTTAAAAATGCTTCCATCTTTTTTAACGAATTAATTAATGCATCCCAAAGTCGGGTATACTTAAATTCAAAGAAAATTAGTGTTTAATTAGATAAAACAAATTGTGGACAGCATCATCTGCAGCTGACCGAAAAACAGTAGACATGGCCACTTTACTTACCAAATAATTAAATAGTTACGTCGCTGTTCTAAAACAAATTATTAACGAATTTGAAAGTAAGTGGGGCTGGAACGGTGAGAAGACGCTGGCCTTTCGAATAGTTTTAATGCTAGAAGATAACATATTTCTAAAAGGAAAATACTGCTATCTATTAGATAATTTTCACTGTTTATCATGTTTTACTCTTTTATTATCCAAAAAAAAAAAATAACATGTTTGTTTCTAATCTCAAGAAATTCATCCAGTAATTAAAGAAATATGTACTCTCTTTTTTTTTTGATATATCACATCGATAAAGAAGATGTATCGTCAAAATCATTCGACAAAACAACGTAATATTTTAAACATATAAATTGGCATGAAACATCTTTATTATCGGGGGGAAAAAACCTAGTTATAGCTCTGTTACAAAGTGGACACGCAATCATAAAAGCCTAGAGCAGATAAACTTAATGTGCTTCGCTAGCCCAAAATAATTTGTGGACCTGAGCTTTATACAGTCTGTGTTCTGGACCTGAAGTTTAACCGTGACTAGCAATGACCCATGCACACGAAGCAGCAGACAATGCCCGAAATACGTATGAGATTGGCCCGGCTCTCACTAATGTTATTAGCGTGCTCTTAAGGAAAACTGATTAGAGATCCATCAACTGGCAGATTATCCAGGCGTTGCATTATAATTCTTAAATATTGCAAAAAAATTAATGTAAAAATAATCAATCTAATAATTACTTATACTATGATACAAATTCTGGAGTCCTAACACCAAACAGTTTATCATCAACAAATTAAAAAAAAAATTGAAATATGATCTGTAATAGCATCAAAATAAAGTTAAATTTTTAAAACATTAAAAAAAGATAAATAATTAAAACTTATCGAAAATTTTCTATAATATTAATTAGTGAAAAAATAGTTATTCTAAATTTTCAAGGATGGTCTGTTTGAGTTATAGATGGTAATAGAAGTTCGTGTTCTTTGAGTCAATCCTATACTACTCTGGGTGTCCCAGTCCAAACTGGTACAGTAGAAAAGGGTACTTGGATTAAATGGGCACTCCCTCCAATGGGTAAAATTAAACTAAATACAGATGAAGCATTCAGAATGATTTTTGCAATGAGCGTGGAATTATAAGGGATGATAAAGGCTAGATGATTATGGCCTATTCAACCTTTTATGGGGCTAGTTCAAATAATAAAGGGGAGGCTTTGCCATTCTAGAAGGTCTTAAGTTGTGCAACATATGCAACATCTCATATGATACCATTGAAGCTGATTCGTCTCTGATTTTGGGATGTCTTCTGAGAAAGGTTAAGTGTCCATGCCTATTCAACCTTTTATTTATACTGTTAGAAAATGTCACTTGTTAATGCAACCGGAAAAACAGTTTCTTCACTACATGAGAGAAGGAAATATGGCTGCAGACAGATTGGCAAACTGGGCTTTCCAGCATAGATCTTCCAAGATTATCTTCACAGTAAATGAGCTACCTTCTGATTGTACGGCAGCTATTTCAAATGATAAACAAGGTTTGTACAATTTTTGTTCAAAATAATATGACTTGATTATTATTATTATTATTATTTTAAAGTCAATCCTATACTCTATCCTTTAAAAATTACTATGTCCACTACCACATTACTTGTCAATTTTTTTTTTATCTAATTCATACCATTATGTTATACCTTATCCATATTATTTATTCATTATTTATTTTTATTTTTTTATTAAAAAAGTTTTTAAATTAACATAAAAAATGGTTAGCAGTGATTATATTCTTTTTTTTTTCAAATAATTATATTACTCCACGTTCCTTGTTGAAAACTCTTTTTCTCATTTTTATTCCAGTTGTCTCTATATTATATCCTGCCTTAGCCAGTCCATTTGTAGCCTATAAACATGGATTGAAAATGGCTTCTGCTATTGCTGGGGTTGAGAAACCCTTTGTAATAAATAAAAAAAAAGGCCTCTTTTTTAATTTTATTTTTATGCAGGAAAAAACAGAATTGGCCTTCCTCCATTTAAGTATAATGAACTCAATTAGAAATATTTTCATTTCTTCGTTACAAACTATTGAAGGTCAATGTTAAAACAATAATGAACTCAAATAGGAAAGATCTTCATTTTCTGGTTGTAAGAAACATTCCTTAATATGGCTCTTAGGTCATGTCTTATTATAAATCTATAAGTAATAATTAAAGATTTAGAGTGTATTGGACTCTAGTGGTAAGTTAGATACATTCATAATGGATAGAAGTGCAAAATTAGGTTAAAGAAATGATCTCTAGTCTAGTCATATAAATATTGAGTTAAGTTTTGTGTCTTCCATATAAAAAAAAAAAAACCTAAAGTACTAAGTAGACTAGAAAACGCTTTCTCCTTGACGACATCAATTTTTTTAAGAAAATTGTTTGAGCACTTACTCAATCATAATAAGAAATTTGACTCTTATTAATTTCTATAACAATTATATGCTTGGGCATATTTATTTTATCTTACATGTGAAATCAAAGCCACCTTCTTACTATATTGATTAGTGCATAATTTATTTTTAATTAATTGTATTGAGTCTATTAAGTATGTAATTTTGGTTATTTCATGCATGTAAGCGGAGAGACTTAGGTATGTTAGACAAGGTGTTGATTTGACAAGGTTTTGATTATGCCAACTAATAAGGTTGCGGATCCCGAATATATGAATAAATGAATGAGTTTTTTTCTTAGTTGATCGTGTGGCGATGGAAAGTCCCGATGCTTGTGATCTTGTTGGTGATACTTGCAAAACAAAACTTTCTTAGGTTTAAAGGATCTTTTGTTGGCTAAGTTAACACACACAAAGAAACAAATATAGCCTCATGAGACATAGTAATGTGAATCACATATGACGTCTTTGCGAGCTTATGAAGCGTAATGTATATAGTGTATAAAGCCTAAATAGGCTTACGAAGAGTGTTTTACTATATGAGATAGAGAAGATATATGATATTTCATCTTTTTGGCGGTCTCTTAACTTAGTCGTATATTATGTAATGTTCTCTTTGCCTTTTGAGTATTGTTTGTATATCAATTTTCCCAAGTTACTCTCCTCTTTTCCTTTCTTTTCCCCTTCTCCTCTTATTGTGTTTGAAATCTTCTTTTTATCGTCGTTATTGGGTTTGGCTTACTTGGAGATGAGGGGTGTATCTTCTCTCCTCATGAGGATAGTTTGGTGTTTTACCCTTTTAGTGTCATGATCATTGATAGGTGTGATGATTCTCTTAAAAGAATGTTCTTTTCTAGAATAAGTTGTCTTTTGCATGTGGGAATGATGTCTTTTATGTAATGCTTGCCCTTCACTATTTTTTTATGACGTTCGAGGCGTGGATACATGTACTGATGAGGAGAATGATGAATCTTGTTTGATGGATCCTTTCCTCATCTAGGGTCTTTTATGATTTTGTGTGGTTGTCCCGGTTGTAGTAGATCCCTCCTTACGTTGGGTGGACACATATCGAAAGTATTTTTCTCGAGTATACCACCAACCATCACTATTGTTTTTTTTTCTATCTATAAATTAAAGAAAAAATACACTAGTTAGTACTATTTTTTATTCCATGCTCTCATACCACCAAGTCATTAAGAAAAGTAAGGATGACTTACTATTAAAAAAAAGACAGATTTGATAAGTTGACCAATTTTCTTCTAGATTGAGAGGCAATAACTTTTTTTTCTTTGTTTTATTTGATGGCATCCAATAATTCTTTGGTTGGTACATTTATTTTGTTTCCAATTGACCAAATCATGATAAAATTAAGTTTTTAACCAAACTCGTTACTATAATCGGACCTAAGCTATGCGATTGCTAGTAAAATAAACATTGTTACTACTAGGTATACTTTGTTAGTCCTTGCCCTAAAAAACCATCAAATAATATATATATATATATATATATATATATATATATATATATATATATATATATTTTTTTTTTTTTTTTTGAGTGATAAGAAATTTGGTTAGAAGTAATCTATTTTATTATGATTTACATGATTAGTTTGGTATATCAACATAAGATTTTAAGTTGATAATAAAACATGTTATGTTGAGTTGGTGATGCCAATTAACTCAAGAATATCCATAACATCTTAAGTTATTTTGATAATCATATTAAATTTTATTAAATAAATATACGCATAAAATACATAGCTCAATTTGTAATTATTTTATAAAAGTAATGACTTGGCCCTACATAAAATTTGTTATTTTAAATTTAATTAGAATAAGATAATAATTGATACCAAGAATGGTTTTATAAGCCCTCAAGTGTAATAAAAGTGGTTCATATGCCTATTTTACCTACTTGAGAAAAGGAAACAAACTTTGTTTTGTTTTTGGGTTTATAGATTGGATTTAGTCGGTGTTACGACATAATCAAAAGGAACGAGTGAAGCGATGAGGTAGGGCTCTTATTGAAATGAAATGCTTTCCTTACCTCAAAAGATGACCAGCTTTTAATAGTAATTAGTCTTATTATTAAAGAGTTAGTGAATTCTATACATGATGTAACCTCTACCAATAAGAAAGTTATAATTCACTACTAAATTGACATTGTTAACTTAAATAAGGTATATTTTTCATAGTATTAAAGTATTTTCATGGTTATTGCAGTTTTTTCTATTACTTTTATTGATACATCTAGTATTTCAATGCTATGTGATAACAATTTCGTTGATTGAAAGAAAAATATTCTCTTTATATTTGGGTGCGTCGATTTGGATTTGGTCCTATAAGTGGATGAACCATCCATTTCTATATATTTGAGTGATGCTCGGGAAAAGACTTATTGTTGTTGTTAACTAACGTTCGCGGGACTCTAACAAATAGTAAGTAAAACTTTGTTTATTTAGAAATGTGAGTTAAACTAAATTTCTAGAGTCACCATCTAATATTAAAGAAACTAAAAATCTAAAATTGACACTAGTTTAGAGACTCTACGACAAGGAGTTGGTTATGCTTTTGGGAATATATCAATCACCCAAAGGTACCCTTCGAGGAAAGGTACGACGTCTAGTTTAATCTTAAAATTTTTATCTCTTAAAAATTTCTATTTTTGCCAAAATTAATCCTACATAAAAATTCCAAGTTTTATTTTCCTAAGTCAAATTATATACATATATTGTGGACTTGTAATTAAGGTTTATATCCAAAAAGAAGACATGGATTGCCATAAAACTTTCTTTAAGAATCATAAGGGTATTGTTAGTTTATTTTAATTTAGAGCTACTTTAGATGGATTTAAGAATAATATTTTAAAATAAAAAGTTAGATGAGATATATACATGAATCAACCATAAGGTTTTTATGATGAAACTAATATCCACTTGATTTGTAACCTAAAGATATCCATATATGGGTTAAAACAAGCCTTCGACAATGGTATAGTAAGTTTCATAATGTTATTATCTTATATAGTTTTATTGGGATTATTACTGAATGTATATGTCTTAAAGTTAGTGAGAGCAAATACATTTTTCTTGTCCTATATGCAAATGACATTTTGCTTACAAGTAATAACTTGGGTTTATTTCATGAGACTAAGTAATTTCTTTCTCAAAATTTTGATATGAAGGATTTGAGAGAATTCTCATATGTCATTGACATA